TTTTTCCAATATTAATTTTATAATGGTACATAATTGTATTTAATTTTAAATTTTTATTAATATAGTGTAAGTATGTAATGTTTTTTATATTTCCAGAAATCAAAATAAAGGTTACACTAGTCTCTCCATTTTTATATCTCTTATTTCATTTATGCTTAAATATATTATTTGGTTTCTTTTTTTATATTTATTTTCTTTTTATTAGTGTATAATGATATCTATTTTAATTCATCATCTTATTTTCTCATATGATTAAACAAATTTTCAAGTATATTTGTAAATTTTGATGATTAACACTAAAATACATGTCTAAAATACTATTTTTTTTATGGGTGTATATTTGTATTTTAGAGAATATTAAAATATATAACTAAAGTTTTTTTCATTAAATACCACTTTATTTTATATTTTTTTACTATTTTATTTTATCATAGAACATATTTTTTAAATGATTTTTCAATTTATTGAATAAGTTGTAATAGTTTCTTTGGATAATAAACACAACCATGATTTCAAAATTATGAATATTATTAAAATATTATTGTATGTGAATCTAAAAGGCTAAATGAGATTAGACACATTAAAAAAAACTCGTGAACTTTATGAAAATAATATTTTTATTAGGACGAAGATTAGAGTTAAGTTTTTCTTTAGCTAACGTGATAACAAAATTACGTAAATATTCTTATTTTTTATTTATAAATAAGAGAAGTTTTTCTCAATCGTAATCATGATAGTTGCAAAAGAAATCCTACCAACATCAACCCAATGTAAAACCTTAACACTACCATATGTTCGTTACTAACAGATTAAATCATGTTAACAACATAATTTTTTATCCTCAAACATGTGATGGATACTCTAAAAATATGTTGATTATGGTGAGAAATTCTACATTTATACCTAGGTATTTCAGAAAGATAAACATACTTAAATCTTTATGCGAAATATGTGATATTATCCTACTTTTTTTTCAATTCTCTATTTTCAGTATTTATTAGTATTTATTTCGATTCATTTTGTTTTATGTGTGGGAAATTATTATAATTTATGGAAATTCAACTAATTTAAATTATTGTGTAAGATTTTTGCTTGACTGATATAGAGCAATCTGTACTAAATTACTTTAATTTTGTGAAATGTGGTAAAGATGCTTTATTTCAAGCTCAAAATGTTTGTGAGGATTTCACTATTTTGTCTGATTATTCTTCTGTTTATAAAATTCTAATAAAAATCTAATTGGTCTTCTGTTTGTACTTGCATAAAAAAAATATGAAATAAAATGATTCCATTGGATCATATTCAATTTTATAAGTTTTGGAATACAACATTTAGCAACTAATTAACATTAGTTTGTTATCTTTTTAAAAATTATATTCTTAGATGGGAGGATAGACATCGGAAGAGTGTTATTAAAGGTCTTTAGGATGACCTAGATGATTGTAAATGATTATGAATTATCATTATACATAATCCTAATATTAGTATTGATTTATAGTGAATTATCATAACAATTTGAACATTTCAGAGGTTTTCGTAGTCTTTAAAATTATATTCTGTGCAACAAAACGTGGATTTTTAGTGGAGAAAATCAGTTGGCATTTGTTTGATGGAGTATATGATATATATATATATATATATATATATATATATATATATATATATATATATATATATATATATATATATATCAACGATGTAGAAAGGATCACTACTATAGATATGATTTTCAACGTCGGTTATATAAGACCTTTCACGGCGGTTCTAAAACCGACGTTGTATAAGGGGACGTTGAAAGTCTACCCTTTCAACGTCAGGTATTCATACCCGACGTTGAAAGTGTAGATTTTCAACGTCAGTTCCTTTTGGAAGCAGTTGTTCAAAGCTCAGGGAACGACATTAGCAATGAGTTCATCATATCATCCACAAAGTGATGGGCAAACAGAGGTGCTTAATAAAACACTGGAAATGTATTTACGGTGCTTTGTCTACGATACTCCGAAGGCTTGGTATTCCATGTTACCATGGACTCAATTCTGGTATAATTCGTCCTTTCACCATAGCATTGGTATAGGTCCCTTTAAGGCTGTTTTTGGAAAAGACCCTCCCTCCGTTATACCATATGATTCTCACCCACAGGATCCAATTTCCTTACAAGAAAAATTGTTGAATAGAGATAAGGTGTTGCAACAACTTAGGATTAATTTAGTAAAGGCGCAAAATTATATGAAATTATAGGCAGATAAGAAGAGGAGAGAAGTCCAATTGGAAGTTGGGGAATTGGTGTTGGTCAAGCTCCAACCCTATAGACAACATTCTGTTGTTCTTCGGAAGAATCAAAAGTTGGGCATGCGATTTTTTGGTCCTTTTCAAGTGATAGAACGAATAGGATCCGTAGCTTATAAGCTCAAGTTACCAAATTCAGCCCGCATTCATCCGGTGTTCCACATTTCCTTGTTGAAGAAATTTATTGGTCAGCCACAGCAACAATATTTGCCATTGCCATTCACTACAACTGAGTTTGGTCCTTCAATACAACCCTTGCATATTCTCAAAACACGAACAATATTGAGGAATTCTACCGTGGTGTCTCAACTGTTGATACAATGGGAGCTAAGTGAACCTGAGGAAGCTACTTGGGAAGATTTAGAGTCGTTCCAACAATCTTATCCTCACTTCAACCTTGAGGACAAGGTTGATTTTAAAGGAAAGGGTATTGTAACGAGTAAAATGGAAAGAGAACGAAACGTGGCAAATGCTGTTAGTCAAGGAGGACATGTGGAGGGTAAACAGCAAATGGTGGCAATAAGACGAGGCACGCGAAACTGCAAAGAGAACGTGCTTTTAAGGGATTTCGGAGAATAAAGAACGTGTGTTGTGTGTTGTTGGTATGAACTTTCCTCTGATCTTATTCTTCTGTAGCGATTCTTCTTCTCTCTCTCCTCTGATAATTGTCTTTCTTTCCATTGATGTAAGTGTAGGTGGAACTATACGCGTGTGAGCCGTGGATATCGATTTCGTAGCAATGATGATTTCCTGTATTTTCATATTTTAGCTTCTGCTGAACTGAACCTCTGATAATTTCAATTTCGTCTTTATTTCTATGCAAATTATATTTGTTCCGTTTCACCATAACCAATATAACACGAACTGAAATTCTCCTTTGTTTTCCTAGTTAAATGATTTTGCAATTTTGTGTTTCAATTTGTTTAAAACAAATAATTTCTCATTCTGTTTTATCAATTATTTTAGAAATATATTTTTGAGTTTCCATTTCTTTCAAATATTAAATATGCTTAAACTATGAAAACAAATTCAGTTGTGGAATCCTAATAAGGCTGTAAGGAAGGTGGATATACTTAGAAATTAATTTAATTATATTAAACTCTTGTAAATAATCTTCATTCTAATAAGTTATCATTTACACGTAAATCTGTTGCTGAGTTTATTTAAAAAACATAGAGGATTACTTTGTTATAATCTTAATTGCTAAACTTCATTGGATAATTACTTTTATTAATTATGCATTCTGTAAAAGTCTTTAACATGAAAAATAAGTTTAAATCAATATTAACAGTAACAAAGTATCAAAAAGTCTATGCTCCATAAAATCAGGAAACTTAAGCCCATGTAAGCATTGTATGATGTAGAATATTCAAATATGACTATGCTAAATGATAAGATAATGCAACATATTCTTGCACTTAATCTTCACTGCATAATCAAAATCTATAAAATAATTTTAAAGATCTGATGAATTTTTATCAGTTAAACATCTATATTTTCTCAACAACCAAAGTTGCTGAACACTTTGTTGGCTTTACATTTATATAAAAATGTTTCAAAAATCACAAGTCAATAATAAAGACTTATTAGACAAAACAGTGAAATAAAGATAGTGATTTATTGATATAGAATGATAGTGTATGATTAGTGATTCTGCTAACAAGGGCAGACGCATGTGTGTGTTTTCATAGAACAATAGGCCATATCACAGGATGGAGTACAAAAATTCCAGCAATCACGGTTTGTATCACAACTCTTAATTAAGTTTTCTTTCGTTTCTCCACAAATGCACGATCCATCTAAACAAATTAATCTTCCTATGCATTTTGGTAAAATCATCTTGCAATCATCGCTTTTAACACATTCACTCAGAGCTGTGATTCTTGATGTGCTTCTCAAACCATGTCCTGCAAATACATATGCAGATTAAAAATAATATTGATTCCTTTCTTGAACCATATTTATATAACATGAGAGAAGAAGATTTAGAGGAATATACCATTGCAAGCTAATAAAGCAAGAAGCACGGCTGCAAAAGCTATTTTCACCGAAGCCATCCTTGTGTTTAGTGTGCCGCTTCCTACGTTCACTTCTAAACAATGCTTTAATGTCTCTCTGGATCTGCTTCACACCTTCTCCTACGTATTTATACTACTCCATGTTTTTTAAATAAGGAAAATTATGTTATTGGTGAAATTTTTGTATTTATTTTTTTACAAAAAAGTACTTATTTTAATATGTTGGTTGACTTGACCACGTACATTTTACATATGACCCAGAAAAAAAATACTAAACCAATAATTATTATTTTTTAAATAAAGAAATTCATTATCTAAATAAAAACTAATCATATATAGAACATTTTATATTTTAAAATAATTATGTGTTAAAATTAATTATTTCTTTAAATATAATATTTGACCACTTTTTAAAATTAAATTTTACTTATTTTAATTATATATTTTATTTAGATTAAATAAATAAATTAGAATAATTTGTTTCTCTAAATTAATTAAGTAATTATGATATTAATAATTTTTTAGAGATTTACATAATTAAATTACATAAAAATTAAATAAACTATTTAATAAATTTATATTAATTTATGATCAATTATATTAAATAACTCAATTATTTACACTTATCATTTTAGTTATTTATTTAATTATTTGATTTATTATTTTGATCAAACATTTAATTAAATATTTTATTAATCACTCAAATAGTATATTTTATTTAACTATTAAATATTAAAAGTAATATTTAAAATAATTATTGGAATTGACCATAAAATGAATTAATTTTAGTAGAAAGGATGATGCTGGTCTTTGAAGCTAACTTGATATAAACTGAACGTCAACCAATGTTGGACATCTAATTAATACACGTAGGCAAATTAACTTCTAATTAATTTGACATTAAGTTTTCTTATTTTAGTTTACTGTTACCTTATTTTTAGCTCTGTTATTTTCAATTTGTTTCAATGTTTTTATTACTTTCTATCTGTTTTTATATTATATATATATATATATATATATATATATATATATATATATATATATATATATATATATATATATATATATAACCCTGTGTGTGGATTCTCCCCAAGATAAGATATGTTATATTTTAAAATAATTATGTGTTTAAATTAATTATTTCTTTATATAAAATATTTGACCACCTTTTTTAAGTTAAAATCTATTTATTTTAATTATATGTATTTAAATGCATTAGATATTTGAATTATTAATTCATGGAATTATATATTTTATTTATATTAAATACTTAAACAAATAATTTAGAATAAATTTTTCTCTAAATTAATTAAGTAATAATGATATTAATTAATTTTTAGAGATTAATTACAATAATTAGAATAATTATTTTAATAATTTATTTAAATTAATTTATGATAAATTATTTATATTAATTAACTCAATTATTTTCACTTATCATGTAGATAGTTATTTATTTAATTATTTGATTAATTATTTCAATTAATTATTTTGATCATCCATTTAACTAAATATTTTATTAATTAGTCAAATAGTATATTTTTATTAACTATTAAATATTTAGAGTAATTTTAAAATAAATTTTGGAATTGACCATAAAATGAATTAATTTATTACCTCTACAAGAAAAAGGTTTTGGTCTTTATTACATTTTATTATTGTTTATTTTTAAACAATTTTTTTTAATAACTTTTTATTTATATAAAGTTGGTAATTTGAATATGTTATTGTTAAACATTTTTATTATAATTTCTTAATATCCTGTATATGTAATTATTCTTTATTTGTTTCTCTTCATATCACTTTCTTCTTTACAAATTGCTGTATGTTATATTTTTTTAATTGATTTTTCTAATTTATTGAATAATTTACAATAGTTAATTTGCTGGTGAATAAACAGGAATTATGGTTTAAAAATTGCTGGTGAATTTTCCAGTTTGGTGCTAGTCTCTCATTGGTTTCCCTCGGGTTAAAGTATTTCATGGTTTGCATTTGAGGGGATGGAGATAGGTATCATTTGTGCTGAGATGGGGATGTTTGTGAGTAATTTAGTCTTATTTTGGTTTCATTGAGTGGTAATAGTTACTCAAGTATAGTTTTTGAAGTAACATAGTTCAAATTTGTACTGCGGTTTTGGAAGTTTAGAAACTTAAACTTTTGTATGAAAAGATGTAGGCCTTCGTTGAAAAGTCATTGTGCTTCAACATTCCTTAAATTTTTTAAGGCATGGAATGGTTCTAAATAGCTTAGGATATAATATTACCCTTTCCTTTAAAAACACAACAATTCATGATTCTCATGCATGTATTTTCGGGCATTTGTAGAATTTTATTTTTACATTCCTACTTGAAATTGAAAAAAGATTTTTTTTTTAATTGTTTGATTTTCCTTCTACAAAATAACATATATAAAATAATACTTTTCAAAAATGTTTTGTTTTTTGTCAGATTTTGAAAAAGAAAATTAAAAACTTGTTTATATATTCTAAATAATTACCAATGAAATAGAGAATTCTCAATATTCACGAATATCAATAATCATGATTATGTAGTTTAATCAATTACTCCTGGCATGCTTATCTTCTAATCTAAATCAAACCCATCAATGCACCAATATGCTATGCAATTTGTAGTTTCCTAACCACAGTTCCATTCCCCCTTCATGACATCTCATTCCAAATAATTAGTAGTTAAAAATTTTAACTAAGAAAGCGAAGTCAAAATGTTTTTTTTTTCTCATGGTTGTATAATGAAAAATGATTATCTGTCCAAAGAAATGTAAAATAATAATGATAACAATATTGTCAGTAAAATATGCTAACTCTTCAGTTGTCGTAGCCCTTCCTATTTCACATCCTTATGGAAACAAGCAATATTCATGGTGATTTCACCCATGAATTGGTGGTTACCACTATAACTGGACTGTAATTGTCTGTCAATCAAATCCCACCAGGATCATTTGGAAGCAGTACAGCTTCGTCAAAATATCTTTTCATACTGCGCAAGAATGAACATACCACTGTATCATTTCAAAGCAATAATATCACACTCCACATGCTCTTGATGTGGCCTGCCGGAAGTCGTCCGCTAAGCACTTTCCCAAGTAGAAGAACGACTAAATAAACTCATGTAAATGCCCAGTTCCTGTCTTTTACTTTGCAGCTGTCAGTACCCATCGACAATTAAAAAAAGGATAATGGCTGAATTTTCAGCACTAAGATTTGGAGACGTTAATGTCACAAGGTGCTGCATATGATATGTGAACTTTTCTGGACTGAACATATTCAAAAATCATATTTGGTTCTTCCACTTCCCAAGATGAGACATAACATGTCTGAAATATCTCGAGACAATAAATAAAAATTCCAAGATTCGAGCATTAGGCGTTTTCTTGATCCTTTAAAATGAATAACCTGCAACCCAAAAATAAACCAAGAACAGAACTCGTGTTAAAACAAGAAGGATAGTATAAAATATTATCTTTATAATATTTCTCAAAGTGTATCTTCAAGCATTTAGTTTAAAATTACACATAAGTCTAAAATAAAGGATTAGAGCTAAATATACAATATATCTTTACATAATATTCAAAAATATAACTCAAGCATTCAGCTGAGGATCAAATAGAAATAATACTGTTGCAAGTCTACATTATACCTTAACATCCAATGGCATGCCATGAAATTGACCAGCACCCTCAGGTGGAGTCCAATTGTACATAGAACAAGGTAAGAACAATACTGAAGTACCCCCAATATCTTCAGAGAAAGCAAGTGCTTTGGAAAACCTTCTGGCATCAAAATGAGGTTTTGACATCACAACCCAAGCAAGAGCTAACTGATCACCCAGCATGCGGGAAGCATTTCTATATTTTGTGCTATAAACTTTCAAGACCTCTTGTAGGAAAAGCTTTGCCCTGCATTGATTATCAAATTAAATTAAAAAATTATTTATTTAAAAATATGTGAATAAATCAACAAAATTAAAATCGAAAAAAAATTACAAATTTTCAAATGTTCAGCATGGAGAAACACAATCCAGAAAAACAACCATAAAAATTATCAAAATGTCAATGACAAAGCAAGCTTGCAAACGCTGCAGAAGCATAGAAACATCAAAGGTATTTGCAAGATATATATGTAGGATAGTGTTACAATCATATAATTTGCATTTTTCATTTGCAGATTCTAAATGAGATGGACAATCATTACATTAGGTTTACTTTTTTGGTAGCATATGACAACTGCAGTTAAACCAAAACTACAGAGAGTACAGATCACCACCTTAAAATTGCTTCCGGGGTACCCTTAACTGCAATGAATCCTGAATTCAAAGGTTGAGCCTTATTGTTCCTAAAGGTCAGAGCAAGATGAAAATTAGGATGGTCATGAAAAACTTGCCCTAAATCATCAACCACTGCTATATCAGAATCAGTGAAGATGTAATGAGTGATATCCCTTGGCTTTTGAGAAAGTTGTTGGAGCCTTGTTTCTAAAAAGGTCTGTAAAGAAGGGAAACATAAGGTTATTTAGTTTAAGGACTTAAAATTTTTAAATTCTAAACACTATCTATAATAATAATAATAATAAATAAACACTACTAGCTCAATACAGGAGAAATAATAGAAGATAAAGAGTAATAAAGATAAGAGCAAAATTCTCTGATCTGTTATGGTCCAAATTATTGGGGTGCGCGAGTAATAATGTAGATTATTATAGTTGATGAACAGAGAACAGACAAACAGGAAAAATAAAGTCGGTTAAATGTAGTCCCTGATGGGCCATGAGAAATTATTTTTCACCAACAAATGTTCTATATACTGTGAATGCAATGTGATCTTACAATGTAAGACCTGATCCTTTGGAGCATCAACTTGTCTCGTGAATATTCACCTTGTATAGGATAAAGAGAGACCCTGTTTCTTTGCACTGAGACGTCAGACACAGGATCTGTTAGAATAATCACTTTGCTCTGTGGCATTGCTACCTGCACACATTAGGCACAATGTTGAATGAATGATGTCTGTTTGGTATAATTGTCAGACAAAAGCTCTATGTCAAAAATAATGAGTCATTTCTAAAACCAAGCACACATAGCTCTATTTATGTTATGTTGATACAAAAAGAAGTAATCATAACAAATTCAAATCCCTAACTTTAAACAACTGATATCAACATGTGTCATTCTACTACTAGCATGTTCCCTTCAACACTCTCCAAAATTATTCTAAAGCCTATGATGAATGAATGATGCAAATTCAGAGCTGTTTATACTTTGTAACACACACCAAAGGTTTATTTACTAGTAAATCACTCAAGCTCCTTCAAATTGAAATTTATCAGTGGCTAAATGTTAACAAGGATGTATGACATTTGTATACGTGTGTCAGAAATCCAGTGCAAGGTAGGAAAAGGTAAAAAACTCATGAAGACAAGAATATTCTACTATTCCAAGTTGATAAACACCAAAAGTATAAAATCGTAAAGACAAGACACTTTAAACTAAACCTCTAAAAAGTAAAGAGTGCTAGTAAAACACATTCAACTATCAACAAAAATTTAATGAAAACCACAAAATCATTGAAAGAGCTCACTAAATAAAAGTGTGTTGCTAGCATTTTCCATTTACACAATAATCAAAGGCAATACACTCTCAATGGGACAAACCCACAACTTTTATTCAACATTTACCTGAATAAAGTTAATGAAGACATTCAACAAAGCCATGGACCTGCCAAACTTATTATATGAAGCATTGCCAACAATTGTGTTTGATTTATCGTCTACATCATTGAGAGAAGTATTATAAATGGTAAAGACAGTGACAAATGTGATACTGCCATCTACACCTGATCTGCTGTCAGAAGAATGGGTCTGATTAAGAGCCTTTGTCCCTGTGAATTGAGAATTTTTAAATGCATTAATCAACGGGGAAAAAAATGGAGATCATAATTACAAGGAAATGCAAAACCTCCTATATATATAATGTGGGGATCAAGTTACTCTAAGATTAACGCTTAATAAAGTAACTCACTTAATTATCTTAATGATTGTGTACTCTGAATTTTAATATATATATATATATATGTGTGTGTGTGTGTGTGTGTGTGAGTGTGTGATAGATATAGGTTAATATATAAAAGGAGAGAAAAAACGGGTTAAAAAAAAAAAAAAAAAAAAATTAAACAGTTGGCATTGTAATTTTTTTTAGGCAGAACAGACTTAGTATATAAGTCTGTCAGGGAAGGCCAAGGAGGAAATAAGAAAATAGAGTTTCAGGGTGATCTCGATTGGAGAGAGAAAGGGTAGGATTGGGAAGATTGCTTCCAGCTGTAAAGTGTATTGTCATTACACTGTGCGAGGAAATTTTGTACTATCGCACAGATACGTCAATTCATATTAATAAGAGGTATATTCAATTTAGCAGAGATATCAGACCTATCAATTGATATCAGTAGTCTTGACTTCGGCTGTGGGAAGGGTTGTATCAAGGAATGGTTAATACAAGAATGGAGGCCAGATTAGATAGCGTTGACAAGATACTTCAAGACCTTGTGAAAGAACAGGACCAGATTGAGAATCAGCAGCAAGAACATCTCCAACATTTGGAAGACTCGATTCGAGGGCTCACATTTGTGGTGGAATCTTTAGCGAGTAAAGAGAAAGAAACTGAAAGATTTGGGGCAAAGTCAGGGGATGGATTAAATGGTCAACCAGATTTCAATAGTTCTGTTACGGAATCAAATTTATCTGGTTCACGTTGGAGGAAGCTAGATATACCAGTTTTTGTAGGAGACGAAGCGTATGGATGGACCAATTGTTTAGAACGTTATTTTCGATTAAAGGCTGTTTCGGAAGAAGAGAAAATGCAAGCGGTAATGGTAGCATTAGAAGGAAAGACATTAAACTGGTTTCAATGGCGGGAAACCTGTAATCCACATCCATCTTGGGAAGCATTTAAAGTAGCAGTGGTACAACGATTCCAACCGAATATGCTCAAGAATCCCTTTGAAATCTTGATTGGATTATCTCAAAAAGGTACAGTGGAGGAATACATTGAGCAATTTGAACAGTATGCGGGATTTTTAAAAAGAATACATCAAGATTATTTGGTGGGTATCTTTTTAAATGGGTTAAAAGATGAAATCAAAGCTGAGGTCAAGTTGTATGACCCTCAAACTCTGACAGAATTAATGTGTAAGGCTCAGTTAGTGGAAGAAAAAACTTTGTGACCCTATCTGCAGAATGTCAGAGAAATAAAGCAGACACGTTGGCTCCAACGGGGTTACTGCAACCTCTCCCTATACCCACTCAAGTTTGGTCTGATATTTCAATGGACTTTATAAGGGGATTACCTAAAGTTCAAGGGAAAGACACTATATTTGTTGTAGTTGATCGACTTACCAAATATGCCCATTTTTTTTCCATAGCACATCCTTTTACTGCAGTAGACGTAGCTCAGGTTTTTTTGAAAGAAGTAGTTAAACTTCACGGTTTTCCTTCTACAATTATTTCAGATAGAGATCAACTTTTCCTAAGCAAATTTTGGAAGGAATTATTTCGACAAGCTGGGACTAAATTAAAGTTTAGTACAGCTTACCATCCCCAAACCGATGGCCAGACCGAAGTAGTCAACCGCTGTCTCGAGACATATCTTCGTTGCATGACAGGAACACAACCTAAGAAATGGCCACAATGGCTTCCATGGGCTGAATTTTGGTTTAATACCAACTACAATGCTTCCGCTAGAATGACTCCCTTCAAAGCCCTTTATGGCCGTGACCCACCCTTGTTGTTGAAAGGATCTACAATTCCTTCAAAGATTGACAGTGTTAATCAACTACAACAGGAGCGGGATGACATTCTTAAGGAGTTAAAAGCGAACCTAGCTAAGGCTCAGAATCAAAACAAAGTTCAGGCCAATAAACATCGTAGGGATGTTGAGTATCAAGTGGGAGATTGGGTATATTTGAAGCCACAACCTTATAGACTTAAATCCTTGGCTAAGCGCCCAAATGAGAAGTTAGCTCCGCGATTTTATGGCCCTTACCAGGTGATTGATAGAATTGGACAGGTTGCCTACAAATTGGAGTTACCTCCACACAGCAAAATACATCCAGTATTCATGTTTCACTGTTAAAGAAAACCATTCAGCCATCGACGGATCCTCAACCATTACCAGCTTCATTAACAGACGATCATGAATTAATTATGTCACCAGCTCAATTACTAGACACACGAACCAACAGTCAAGGAAAGATGGAAGCCCTCATCCAATGGAAAGATATTCCACCTACGGAGAGTAGTTGGGAATTAGCTGAAGTTATATCCAAGAAATTTCCTGCATTTCACCTTGAGGACAAGGTGAAGCTTCAGGGGGGGGAGTAATGATAGATATAGGTTAATATATAAAAGGAGAGAAAAAACCGGTTAAAAAAAAAAAAAAAAACAGTTGGCATTGTAATTTTTTTTAGGCAGAACAGACTTAGTATATAAGTCTGTCAGGGAAGGCCGAGGGGGAAATAAGAAAATAGAGTTTCAGGGTGATCTCGATTGGAGAGAGAAAGGGTAGGATTGGGAAGATTGCTTCCAGCTGTAAAGTGTATAGTCATTACACTGTGCGAGGAAATTTTGTACTATCTCATAGATATGTCAATTCATATTAATAAGAGGTATATTCAATTTAGCAGAGATATCAGACCTATCAATGTGTGTGTGTGTGTGTGTGTGTGTGTGTGTGCTTGTGTGTGTTTAATGCAGGTATCGAGTTTCTCTAAAATTAACTCTTAATAAAGTAACTCTACTTGATTATCTCAATGATCATGTACTCCTGAATTTAAATTATTTGGACATTTATATATACAAAATTTACTTGCATTCCAAAAAGATATAATATGATAATACAGATTTAATATTACGAAGTGTTATATTAGCTTGAGTTTTAATTTTCCAGCGTAGCTGGCGCAAACCCGTAGTGGGCCGCGTAGGCCCACAAGTTTTGATCCACTTTGACAGTTCTTTATTGAGTAGAGTAACTATTCGAAGGGTGTGTGTGAGTAATTTACACATGCAGACTTAGATTTTTCTGCTATCGACATTGAACATTCTTCATCAATTTTCTAGATAATTTAGACTTTTTCTAGACTAGTTAAATAGAATTAAAATATACAAGACCATCTACACTCTAGCATCTTATATTATGTCCGAGATGGCAAACAAGGTTTTTGAAAGAGAAAGAACTATTACCTGTTAACATTTGTGAATGCTAAATCACTTAACTCTGGAATACAATTAATTTAACAAAATTACCAACACATTTGAAGGTAGATACCATTTTCTCAATTATCAGTGAGTGATGGGTTTATGTCAGTAGTGTTATTTGATACAGCCAAAGATTATGAGACAACCTGTTAGGTTCCTTTTCTTCAGAAAAGGAATTAACTATTTTCAAGAACTACTCAATGCACAAATTGAGAAAGAAAGAATTATTTCTGTGTTCAGTAACCAAAAGAATGTACGCAAGTGTACCCAAAGCAGCACTCTCCTTTCACCCTGGATATCCCAGTTGATTTTACAAAACAAAAAGATCTTCTAATATATTCACTAAGAGGGTTATTTATACCCACAACTAATCCCCAAAACCGGCTAAACTCCCCTCTTGTTCTTTCTTCTAAAATATACTTGTCATGTCTAATTGGTTTGTTTTGGTAGGTCTCCTGCCTAATAACACGATCGTATTATTCAGATTCATATTATTCAGACCAAAAAAACATTTCAAGAATAAAGAGCATAAATCAAATAACATTTGTAAAGAGATAAAAGAACCTCGGCATTGCAAACGATTTGACAAGCCTTGTCCAGCAACAGGCCCAAGAACCAGATGATCAAATTTTTTGTTTAGTTGCTTGTGAGGTTCTTCCATTTTTGAGTTTTTGTGCAACTCCATGACTGATAAAAAACAACTATGTTAACCAGTTATGCTCAATCAAACACAGAAATTTATACTTGAAAAAAAAAAAAAAAAAAAGTGATTACCAACCAGAAAACAGATGAGTAAGGAGGAAAATCAAAGGCAGACCAAAAACAAAACGTTGCCATCCACTGAATATTTTCATGCCTGATAAACGTTCACTTGAATATAAACGCCAAGCAAAAATGAAGAAGAAACTAGAGTCCTGCACACATGCACTTCAACTGCACATACAATACAAAATCAACTTAGATAGGTGCTTTAGCAAAAGTAAACCCATATATGGATAAGAAAAAGATGAAAGAAATTAGGCAAAAAATTTCCATTCACAAATCTTATAGTTCACCACCAAAAAGTATACAACAAAAAGCTTGTGAGAATCATGTAAAATTCAGACAAATTATAAAAACAAACTTATATTAGATCTGAAGGTCTAGTTATAATTTAGCTATCCCAGAAATAGACTGGCCGGGACCAGCCCATTGACCATCACAGATCCTGCACAGCCTCATATGGACAAGATCAGGCTGGTTGAAGATTAATCCTAAGTCCTATTCCACTCACTCCAAAAGGACTAGTGGATCATATGATGAGTGTGATTTCTTTTTTAAAATGCTAAGTAACAAAGCATTCACTCTTAGCTAGCTTAAAATGGCAATCTTAAAATCCTATGTCAACACAAGAAGAAGAAATGAATAGTAATTGAGTTAAGCTTTCAAAAGTTGCATAAGATACTCAATAGCCTTTATCCCAAGTTCCAACAGCAGCCAATACCTACACCCACAATATTTACTTTCTGTGTTTGTCCCTATTGTTGCATTCAGATTAGTGAATCACTGAATCTTTTCATGCCAAACATTCTTTTGAATCCAAACAAGGGCTGGAGAAGCTCCCTAAAACAGAGGAACTCCAACTCAACTTCCAACAGAAGCTGCAATCACTTGACTAGAGTTGGAAAGTAACTCCTATCTGGTGGCTGAACGTTAGCTGTTGGTAATTAGGATTTAATTTCTATATTTTCTTATTTGTTTTACAGTTTTCTTAATTTCATGAAAGCAGCTAAGGATTTCCTCAACTAAATCAGAAAATTCTTTCTTCCCTTTCCTGTCTTGTAAAAGTGAGGGCTGCCAAATATCTCTTAGCAATTGGTGGATTGCAGAATAAGTATGTGGGAACAGCCCATATCTCTTTGCAATAAAACACGGAGAACTAAACACAACATGCTTCAGATATATGCGATGGGTGAATCAAACAAGTAAGCTCCCCATTCAGCCATACATGTGGCAAAACAGAGATTTTGTCCCTGTCACACAACCAGAATTTATTCCACAATGAGCCATCATTGTGGCTGCAACTCACATAACACTTTAGTTTGTCTAGAAATGGCAAACATCCAAGTCACCCAGCTGTAATTATCTTATTCGCAGCTCCCATAGTGCCACTGACAACTAATATAAATTTACAAGAAATTACATGATAAAAAAAAGAAATGAATTTAAAGTATGGAAATTCGTTCGTACATTAGCACAGCCTTGAACCAATATTTTTCAAAGTAAACGTTTCAACAATCAATGTTTTGAAAATCAGACTGCATGGATGTGTTAGATAGTTTGAATGGAAATTACTTCAGGTTCAACAGATAAGTTTCAACTTTATCATCTGCCAAATCAGCTTGCAAACATAATGATCATCCACCAAATCAGCTTGTTCATGGTGATTCTATGTTTTGTGCATAAGATTAATGTACCAATATCTCGTACCCACCACTGGATGTTTCTTAACCAAAATATCCTTACAATAGGCCTCTCTAAGTACAACAGTCTGAGTTCTAATCTTATTTGAAATGTAAAATATGCCAGGATGATGAACCAAAGCCTTCTTAAATCTCAAGGCCAATCCCAAACACTCTCCAAAACAAATCAAATTTTCTCTTTCTGTCTTCTTTGACACAAGAAGAGAAAGCAACTCATGCAATATTGCCACAGTCCATTTCTCTGCTTGGTCACTATTTGAGTCGAGATGAAATGCGTCTTCATATGGAGAAACGTATGGCAACTTTTGCCAATTCTCAACCCAAGTCTTTACCCTCTTCGCTAAATCAAAACCTTTCGGCAAAAATATGGGAAATGCAATATCATGCCTTCTTTTATCTCCACTAAAGCCCAAGCTCATTGCCCTCTTTTCTAACTCCGACACAGAAAGCTCTTTTCTCCATGAAACAAGGTCTAAAGCAAGCAATTCTTTTCCAGATGACGGATCTTCCACAACACAAACATCAAAATAATCAGGGTAATCAGCCAAAAGATTCGTCACATAATCATGAGGAAGACCCATATCCCACTTTAACTTCTCAATTACATAAAGAGGCAATTTTCCCATGCCAGCAAGCATTAGAAGCCTTGCAAGTCTCTGAACAGTGTCTTTGCGATTAGTGGGAGAGTTATGAACAGCCATTTCTTCTTTGTGGAGGGAAAAGGCTTGAGGAGTGAGCTTGACAACAGGAGGAAGACCAGGACCAGGTTGGAATTGTGTGAAGACACAACCGTATTTATCAATGAATTTGGTAGTCGTAGTGGGAAGGTTGTGGGAAGCTTTTAGTTGAGAAGCAGTATAGATGGAGAGGGATTTGGAAGGAGATGAAATGATTTGGTTCTTGAGGGAAATTATCTGTTTGAGATCTTTCTCTTTCAGGACTGCATTATCAAGATATGGGTCTCGGACCCATTTGACCTTTGCACTTACAAAAGTCCTAATATGGTTGAACAAATGTGGATGTTTGGTGGAAATAGCCATGAACAACCAGCTAACTACCCTGTAAAGTGGAAACACTCTGTTATAGGGTAAAAATTCTTCTATAGACTTACACTCTAACTTTTTTACACTAAGCTAATAAATATAGAATATAATGGCCATCAAATAAACAAAAATATGCTTCAAATTTATGCACTCTCCAACTATTTTATTAGGTCTAAAAGAATAATGATGCGTTAGATTCTCAGTCTTAGTGACTTAGTCTCTACTCTGCACAGCTTGTGTAACAGTAGACGAACTCCATAATTTCTTATGATAAGTAGGTAATACAAACAACTGAGAAAAATAAGATTTCTTGTTTGACTTATATTGATATTCCTAATATTTGATATTTGAGTCGGTGAAGTCACAACTCACAATTAAAATACACCAAAACACAAATGGAAACCCTATTAAAATTATTCTTCAAAATTCTAATACGGAAAAGAACTCAAAATACCTGTTGAAAGGAGACAAAATTTGGTGCTGGGAATATAATTTAATACCAACTATCTAAAAGCAATATAATCTTTGCTTAGTTCAATGAAAATCAAGTTAAGATAAATTATCAACTATCCAACCCAAGCCACAAGAAAACTATCTAACCATCCACAATTATCAGCAACGCCTGTAAGTTTTTTTTCAACATAGAATTCAAACTTTGGTTTAATTTCTTTCCCAAGCTTCTCATAAACAAAACACCAAAACCGTTGGTATTACATATGGATTAAGCAGTTCTGTCCCGAACAAAATCTAATCTACAATTTTCCTTTTTTTTTAAAAAAAAAAAAAGGCAAAGGAAAATAAGTATATATAAATTTTATATGAAAGCATCATAGAATACTCAGAACGGAACTTCGGAGCAATTCATAGGTAAATGAAGACGCGCGAAACAAGACCAAAAAATTGGATGCATTGAATGGAGAAGTAAAGAATGGAATAGATCTCAAATAAATGAAGGTGAAAACTACCTGAATGCGAGATATCAAAGCATCGAATTGAAGAAGAACAAGAAGAAGAAAACGGCGTCGTGTAAGGTGCGAACGCTGAAAATTATGCTTCCTTTGTTTCCTGTTCAATCTCTTAACACGCAGAGAAAGGTTGTTTGTATGCGACTCGACTCTGCGTTTCGCTCGTGAAATAAATAACTCACCAAAAAAAATTGTTACATTTATTTTATATTAACACAATCAATATTTTAGATGTAGAGTTTAAAAAAATGTGCTTTATTAATGACATTTTTTATGTTCTTGCTTCTGACAAATTAACTATTTGGTATTTTACCTTTTAGATGACATTTTATTTCTATAGGAAAATCATGTCTGTTTCATTTTTTACATTTATTTTTTGAAAAAAAAATCACATTTAATCCTCGTTTCCTCTGGTTTTTAATAAAATATTATTCATTTTCTTTATTTTTGTTTATATAATAAAATATTTTTACCTCCTTTAGTTTATTTAAAAATATTATATTGGTTAAAAATTTAATAAAAAAATTATAGAAATTATAAATCAAAGATTTCAATTAAAAAAAATATAAATAAAAGTTTTAAGTATGTAATTATGAGAAAAATGCATCAACCTCTCCTTTAAATGAATTTTTTCTAGTTTTAAAATAAATATTTAGGTTTTTTATGTTATTAAAATAACGCTTATTTTATTTTATTTGTATTTTTTAAAACATTAATATTTGTATAAAAATCATATTTAAATACAATAATAAGTTAATAAATTTAACCATATAATTATATTTCTTTATTTATTTATTTTAAAATAATCTTTTCAGAAAAAATATTTCACAGTCCAATGGTTAGATTTACAATGATATATAACCCAACATATATATATATATATATATATATATATATATATATATATATATATATATATATATATATTTAAACAACCAGGTTATTTGAGCTAAAACCTACCCTTTTATACATGCAACGTTTAAATACAATAAATTGCTTGTAATTAGATGTACACATGTTAATTGTTTCTCTCAAACCTTCCATTTCTTTCTACCTCAATTACGATTACATGGAATGAACAAAAAGACAGAAGTGTCTTAACAGAGGGAAAATTAGGCAATGAAATTATGCTTTGGCTGCCTCTAGTGCTGAGAAGTGATTTTCATGTGCCTCTGGAGCAGCTGAGCCCCTGAAGAGCAAAATGGCCAAGTTGCCTAAACAGAAATAAATGAAACAGCCACAACAGTGGGTCACAAATGAACCAAAATCTGTGCCTACAATACACTGCCAACCAGGTCCATGCATCCTGTCAAATTCCTGCAGTGACAACAAAAAGAAAATTACCAAAGTTGATTAATCAAGTAACTCCTTTCTGCCACTTATTTCATCAAAAGAAGCAACAAGAATTTGATTTGAATGTACTGATACATACTATTATCCAATCATGTTATTCATTTGTATTATAAGATCATTGGTTTCCCCAACAAATCATATCTCTCAGCAAAAATTTACAAGAGTTAATTTAGTGCTGACAGATTTAAGCAGTTTATGTGAAGTCTTATGTTCAAACTTCATTTGTTGTTTGTGAGATTATTGCTGTCAATTTACCTTCTTTATAAATCGGGCAATCTCAATGGCTTCAGTGACATCAAAGAAATCAAGTGCTTTGGAAGCTAAATCCAGGGCATCTTGCTGCATGGTCTGAAGCATATCAGTCTCACCAATCACAGCCTTGCCTTCTAGCATGATAAACCTGAGGAGAACTTTCCACACCAAGCAACAAAATTGGATATAATGGTGCTTAAAATGAAGCACAGAAATAAAGCAAAAGGAGTTTATTTTAAAGGGTTGTAAAGTGCAGAATAAAGGGCAGAGGATGAAGGTATTATATAGAGTGAGATGAAAAAGGATGGTGCTAATTGATCAGCCACGTATGGATTGTCTTTGTGGCCAACATAAAATGCTATGCATTTAGCCATTTTACTATTATGATAAACATGGACCCAGTTTGGCATCTCATTTTAACTGCATCTGCATATGGATCAAGCTTGTCTCTACCATCCTTGGCACATCATGGACCACTGGAATCAAGTAATTATATACCAAGAAGCTATTTCTTTTAAACTAAACAATCTTATCTTACAACCCTTTTAAAATTTGGATTACATAATTTTGAAAAATCTTCATTTTAGATGAACTAGATAAAAGTTTTACATTCTGAGTTAACATTTAGGAAAGAGGTGTAATTCTGGGAATTTTAAAGGATTTGTATTTTCTGTTTTATTATTGTTTCAAATTAAGTATTTGTAAAGTTGTTCCAAAGAAGACAAGTTATTATCTTTTGGGAGGTAGATAATGCTGGACACGTGTTATGTATTTTGTGGACTTGTCGGTTGATTTGTCACGTGTGATTATGGTCATAGTTTGATTTTCAAGATTTTGGCCTTTGCATATGACATGGCAGAAAATCCACTTCTTGCTAAGACTAGGGAGATGTCAATTTTTCAGAATCAAGATCACAGAATCTCTCCTCATCTTTCGGAAAAGATTTGCATTTTAACATAGAAATGATATATAAATAAATTTTTTTTATCAAATATTCATTCATCAACCATTTTTATATTATTTTTTATCTATTTTATTTTATTTTTCTATCAATTAAGACATAAAAAATATTATTTTAAAATTATTTATTAGATATTTAAAAAATCTTGGTTGTCAAATTTTTCTTTTAACATATTCCTATTTCCCTATCCATTACAAACTAGATCAAAGACTATTTATGTGAGTATTCAGGAATTAATTGTTTTTATGTAGTAATAGTATTATATTTTTAATTGATAAAAAAATTTGATTACATTTTTTTTAGTTTAAGATAAAAAGATATTTTTTCTTTCTTCTTAAAATTGATTTTAATATCATCTTATAAATTACTATTAAAAAATTAATTATTTTGTATAAAAAAATATTTAAATTTATAAAAAATTTATTTTTTACAATTTTTATAAAAATTTACAAAAATAATAATTTATAATATTAAATGGAGAGATAACTCAATCTTTAATATCTATTAAACAAAGGGAGAAATTATACTTATTTATATAATATAATATTATTATATTTTTAATTAAGGTAAAATTGTATTAAATTTCTCAGAGTTTTTTCATGGTAATTATTTTTCATGACATTTGTATAAGTTCAAATCACGTTTGTATAGGTTAGAATCACAAAGATTGCTCTTTAAGATTATTCATAGAATATTGGCAACTTGGGACACTTGTTTACAAAAGGATTTTGGCATGAGTTTAGTTGAGGTTTTTGGTCATGAAACAGAAACAAACAAAGTGAGAAATTGAGCTAACAATCACCACAAGATAGTTCATGGCCAGAGATAATCTAATGAATGAATAATGGTAGCTAGTGGGAGTCATAGCCAAGTACATTGGCATATTCATCTTCAACTCCCACGAATATTCATTCTTTTGCGTCTCCAATCTTTTATCCTTTTTTTCCTTTTTTTTCATTTTAAAATAATTAACGTTTTAGAATATTGTGTAAGAAATAAGAATCATAAGTTATTGAATAAAAGGTAAATTTTTTTGAGCTAAATAGGTACATATCAATTACTATGTTCAATAATTTCTAAGTCATGTTTATGCATAAATTTTACTTCATAACTCTAGCTTTTGAGAAACTTGTGATAGGAAACGTAATATTTAACAAATAAATAAATAAATAACTATTTTTACTTTTAATTGTATGTTTGTTATAATAGTTGGAATTTCAAAAAAGAATTATTATTTTAAAAAAATTATGAATATGAAAGTTTTAATTTATAATTTTAACAGCAGTTCCACAAACAGTTACTCAATATCTTAGATTCAGAGATTAATACTTCAACCACTAAACTGTAAATTTTTTTTATAATTACTTATAAATAAATTATATTTATATACAAATAAATATATATCTGTGTAAATATATAAATATAAAATATATAAATACAAATATATTTATATAGTTATATATTTATATATTTATATGTTGGATGTGAGAGCACGCTCGAAAGTGAAAGTGTGTATCAAGTGGATTTTCAAAATTTGATGTCAAATTTGTGAGCGAGTCTCTTTATATGAGTTTGTAAGTTAGTGACAAAATATAATCTTTATAATTTATTTATATAATGATATAAAATAAATTTGGAAAACACGGCATTCGCTCAAGCGAAAAATACCAATTTTCGCTCAAGCGATGAGCGAGTGAATTTCAGTGAGGTTTAACGTATTTTTGCTCAAGCGAGAGTCAATTTCACTTTTATCCTCGAGCGCGCCCTCACATCCAACCTATAAATATATAACTATATAAATATATCAAAAAATATAAATATATTTATATATTTACACAAATATATATTTATTTAAATATAAATATAATTTATTTATAAATTATTAATTTTTTAATCAATCCACACTAAAATTGTATTCAACGTGATCTCAACTTTAAACAACGTTAAATGACGATCCTCGTAAAAAACATATTCTGATTTTATATACATTACTTATTTAATATATCTATTGAATATTACTAACAGTGAATATAGCACTATTTCTATGTTACAATTATTCCCTTTTATCCGGACTTAATAAATAAAAGAAATGTGTTATATAAAATTTCTAAAACAACATAATTTGTTGAATCTATTAAAAATAAAGAAAAGGTTTAATTCAATTTTATAAAATGATATTTACCTCTTAATTATATATTATAGAGTGATATAAAACTTCCATCAAAATGTTTATTTTGAAAATTAGCATTAGAATGGAAAATGTATAATGATCATTAAAATTTTATAATTTATATTAGTATTTATAATTTTTATTTTTAAAATTTAATTATTCTTTATCTCTTAAAATTTTATATTATAATTTTATATTTATTTTTTAATAATATATTATTTAATTCCAAAATCAATAATTATCATCCATTTCCTCCTTCTAATAAAATTGTAGATGCCTGTAATTTTAAACCGATCTTACGATATCATTCATATTATTACTACCAATAATAAGAAGAAGAAAAAATGGCTATTTAATGATATAAAATCATTAAGTTATCATTTTTAAGCAATGCTTACGTATTTTCGGGTGAGTTTAACCTATATTCGAAAGAACAACAGACAACAAAAGGGACAAGTTTGTGTTCCTTCTATTTTTATACTTCCTTAAATAGATTCCTTACAAAAGTTGTCCTTTTTTTTTTCAGTACGTTATATGGTTGAATTCGTTAAGTTGGTAACCTGTGACACCTGTTAGCACCATATCTTGTTTTATTTTATTTAATCCCATCCAATCTAACACTGACATCCCAACGTACATTCCACCGACACAACCGTGTCCACAACGTAACCTTCTTGAGTTGGTAAAATCAAAGAAAATGTGTTAGTACCCCCATATACAAGCTAAAGCCGGTTTGTTTTATAATTCCGTTTAATCTATTGAGTTAATAGATTAGTAGATTAATTCATTAACTCATATTTTTTAATAAATATAACTGAATTATTGGATTGAAATATACTACAATAATGTCATAAATACTGTGATATCACTAAAATATAATGACAAAAAATACAATAAATATCGTGGTATCACCTGAATATAATGATGTAAATAAAATATAATACCACAAACATAGTGATGTAAATAAAATATAACAGTGCAGTAAAAATTTTGACATAATTGAAACGTAATAAATAATATGACAGAATGATACAATAAATAAATAATAATCAACCAATAAAAATAAAAAGACGAAATAATATAAATTAACATTATTAAATTATTATATCTATTTTTAAAATTTAAAATAAATTATACTTAACCATTTATCATAATAATATAAATTAAAATTATTAAATTATTATATTTATTTTTAAAATTTAAAATAAATTATACTTAACCACACGCTAGTTACGTCTGATTAGATGATAGTAAAATCCTTAACTTTCATACACAAACTACCAAGAACATTACTTAAGAAATTAATAATTTTTTTATTATAAAGCACATGAAGAAACATAATTTAATTATGTATTTCAATGAAAAAATAAAAATTAACCAATATTTTAGTAACAGTTATTAATTTAAAAAAAAAAATTCCGTATATATCATAGTTCTTACGCAGCCATGTTCTACGCCACCTTTCTTTCTCCACCTTCCATCTCCGTCTCCCTCTTCTAACTTCCCTTATTAACACCACCCCTCTCATTCTCTCTCTCTTTCTCGATTCTCTCTCATTCTTTCTCTTTTGTGGATATCTCTCCATTTCTCCTTTTTTCTCTGCAAACACTTCCCTCGTTATTCAGCCAATCCTCCCGTTTGGCACGCCACCGCTGACCTCCACGCGATGGCGCCGCGTCTCTTGTCCTGCTTTCGCAAGGGCTCCCACGGCGGCGATGGCATCGCAGAGCGCCGCGTCACCACGGAGGACGCCGGTTTCGGATCCAATCGCGGGGGCGGGGTCCCGGGGGCAGTGTTGGTAGAGATGTTCTCGTCCCAAGGCTGCACGACGTCGCCGACGGCGGAGCTGGTGCTGTCGCGGCTAGGGAGGGGGGACTTCGAGCTAGAGGTGCCGGTGGTGGTGTTGGTGTTCCACGTGGACTATTGGGACTACATGGGCTGGAAGGACCCCTTTGGGTCGATGCAGTGGACCGTTCGGCAGAAGGCCTATGTTGAGGCCCTTGGGCTTGATACCATCTTCACGCCTCAGGTTGTGGTCCAGGGCAAGGCCCATTGTATTGGAAATGACGAGAGTGCCCTTGTCGAAGCTGTCACTAATGCTCCTAGATTTCCTGCTCCATCCTTCCAGGTTAGATGGGATCACTCTATTTTTTGTCCATAATTTTATCATTTTTCTTTCCATTATAATAATTTATCAAGAAATTTGTCTAAAAAAAATCGCTTGTCTTCTTGAGAAAGATAAGTTTATTTTAATTTTGGAGACAAATTCAATTTATTTTTGCTTTTTATGACTTTGGCTGGAAAATAACCTCAAAACATGCACCTCTGTACTGAATTTGGCTGCCTAGTAATAGAAGTATGTTTTGTGCAATAAAGTTGTGTGGTGAAGTAGAATTCAATGAGTGAGGTGCATGTTCTGTCATTTTCATACGATGCATCATCCCACCTAAACACTAAGTGGGAGATCACTTGCTCACCTAATGCAAATTAAGATGCTTCATAGGCTATGGAAGTTATCATGTTCTTTTCATCACCTTCATTTTTAATAGTTGTTGGATCAAATGCATCCTTTGAAATCATTAGCATCACTAAGTATTTCACACACAACTTAAAATCACTTACCAACAATAGTGTGAAATTCTAACCACTACGATGCATGCATTTTCTTTTTTCTAGCATTGAGTGATGAGTGATGTTACACAAGCCAACTAATAAAAGTGATGTTTAATTGTGTATGAAAAGATTAGAGTTGATGATCATTAACTTGTAGTGTAAAACTCTTTTACATTATCATTGCATACTCTCTTTTTTCTCAATAAGATTATATGTATGCAAGAAGTTTTGTTATCTGTGTTCATTCTTTTTTAAAAGCAAAAGTGTCTTTGCATCAGGCAAGTTTCACCAGGCCTGCTCCAGATTCATTGCAAGTGTCCCTAACAGGAGTGTTAAGGACCAGAGTGAACAGTGATGCCGCCAATGTCATGGTAGCATTATATGAAAATGGTTTGGTCACTGACTGTCCAAGAGGGGAGAACAAAGGACGTGTTCTATCCAACGACTATGTTGTTAGAAAGCTCGAAAAACTCTGCACTGTCAAAGACAGCTCTGCCAAGAAAACAGTAGCAGGAACAATTAATTTCCCCTTGTGGGAAGGATTCAACAGCAAGAAATGTGGTTTGGCTGTCTTTGTTCAGCACAGCTCTCATCAGATTTTTGGGTCACAAAGTTTCAATCTGCCGGATGATATATGATTTGATTTTGGTTTCATTTGTGATGCTTGCTGTTATCACACTCCAGTTACATTGTTGTTTGTTAGGTTTTGTGTACATATATGTCTTATGATATAGGATAACGTTTTTTTTTTTTTCTTTTTGTTTTATCACATTTTTTTTGCTATGTACTTTGTCGTATCTACTATTTGACTCTAATTAGGAGATGGAGAGAGAAGTTAAAATTTGTGGCTTGGACAATTCTATTGATTGGAATTTGAAATGCAGTTGAATCTGACACTACTAGAAAATATGCTTTCAACGTCGCTGTTTAACGTCGATTACATATTAGCCGACGTTGAATATGCTTTCAACGTCGGTTGTTCAACAACCGACGTTGAAAGTCGAATTTTGGCACATTCTACGTCGTTTTAGCATGTCTGACGTGGAAAGTAGGCTTTCAACGTCGGTTATGCCCTCACCCGACGTTGAAAACCCTTCTGCATGGGCTTTCAACGTCGGATGTGGGTATAACCGACGTCGAAACCCTGTAAGTATTGAAAACTCACACACTTTAGATAGCGGTTATATGGGAACCGCTATCTAAAGTGCACTTTAGATAGCGGTTCTAAGGGAACCGCTATCTAAAGTACACTTTAGATAGCGGTTATAAGGGAACCGCTATTATATCCTCTCAATTATGATCGATCATTTCAAGTTATGATCGATCAGAATCTTATTTCGCTCGAGCGAGAGTAGTGTCGCTCAAGCGAAATACAACCCGAGAATGCTAATTTTGTGCAGGGGGCGTTTCGCTCGAGCGAGAAGGGTGTCGCTCAAGCGAGATACACTTTAGATAGCGGTTATAAGGGAACCGCTATTATATCCTCTCAATTATGATCGATCATTGCGAGTTATGATCGATCAGAATCTTATTTCGCTCGAGCGAGGGTAGAATCGCTCAAGCGAAATACAACCCGAGAATGCTAATTTTGTGCAGGGGGCGTTTCGCTCGAGCGAGAAGGGTGTCGCTCAAGCGAGATACATTTTAGATAGCGTTTCAATCGATTAAATCTCGTTTCAATCGATTAAAACAATTTCTGCACAGCGTTTTAATCGATTAAAACTTATTTTTATCAGTTAAAATTAGTTGAAAAGTTTTACGAGAAAGTTTTGCAGTATTTCAATCGATTGAATCGCGAAACAATCGATTAAATCAACTTAGAAGATTTTTTGTAAAGTGTTTTAATTGATATAAACGTTGCAGTATCAGTTAAAACAAATCTGTTAAAGAATCAAGAACGTATTAATGGATTAAAAGAAGTTTTAACAGATTAAAACTGCACTTTTAACAGATTAAAAGAATCTTTTAACAGATTAATTAAACCAGCAGTTTGAAAATCTTCTATAAAAACAGTTTGGCTTGAACTTTGGGGTTCGATGTCGCCAGAGTTGGGGTTCGGCCTCGAGTTCGTCGAGGTAGGCTGGGGTGGAGGATTGGGGTTGGAGAGACGAAGGTGATTAAGCTCGAACAATGGTGGATAGTCACTGGTACAAGGTCACAAAGAGGGAGTGAAATTGTGAGCGAGAAGGTGAATTTGGGAGGACTGTCAGCATGAAGAACACAAAATTTTGGAGGATTATCAGTGCGAAGAAGATGAAAGTACTGGGTTTATTTGTATATATTTACACGGATATATATTTATTTGTATATAAATATAATTTATTTGTAAGTTATTATCAAAAAATTCAAGTAGTTTAGTGGTTGGAGTATCAGCCTCCAACTCTAAAGATCTTGGGTTCGAATCCTGCCAATGACAATTCTCTTAAAAATTAAAAAACTTCTAAAAATATAATATAAAGAGATGGAGGACCTAATAAAAATATAATAGGAAGAGAGGGAGACTTCTAGATAATAAAGGGGGGGGGTAAAGGGGTTGTAAATAAAATAAAAATTATTAATTTAAAAAATCATACTTTCAATGTCGACATTAGATAGCGGTTATAAGGGAACCGCTATCTAAAGTGTATTTTTCAACGTCGGTTTTTTGAAACCGACGTTGAAAGTCACGACTTTCAACGTCGCCTGATACAACGTCGGTTATTAAACCGACGTTGAAAGCCTTTCAGAACCGACGTTGAAAGCTTTATTTGTAGTAGTGTGTTTTCTTGTATTTAAGAGTAGTAAGGTCATTCTTCCTTGTGATGGGAAACTTCTGTAGTGATTCTTCTCCACCACCTCTTCCATCCACACATTTGATTTTTTTTCCTTTTTTTCATCTCATATACATTTTTCTTGCCAATTTGTTTTGAGATAAAATTAACACTAAATGTGGACATCTATTTTGACCAAGAATTTAAACTTTTTATTTTTCCTACACATTGCGAAATACTAATCATTCCACTGGATTCAACTTTCAATTATTGTTGGAAGACCCGTATTGTTAAAAGACTAAGTCTTATAGATAAATTTCCTAAAATTAATGAAATTCTTAAAAATAATTAAAAACATTGTGAATATAACCTTGTCATTAAATTTATATGTAAATATTAAAATGGATGAGTCTATATTTTAGAAGGGCCATAATGGATGTATTGTTAAGCTAATAAGTTAACAAGTCAATTTTAACTAATTAAAAGTTTTAAAAAAATTATTAATATATTTATACTAAAATAATTAATTAAAAAATATATTTAAATAAAAATTAAAAAAATTATTTTTATTTAAGATTTTAAAACTTCATATATAAATTATAAGAGAATAGATTAAATTATCAAATTTATAATAAAAATATATATATTTTTTATAAAATAATATTATTTTTATTTTAAATATTATTAACTAAAATGGGTCAGACCATTGTTTATGGGTAGAATTGCAACAGCAGTGGCCGATATTCATAGTAGTTAATGGGGGCCATAGTCCCCCAAAGTTTTGTAACTTACTTGGATATTTATGATTTTGGCCCACCAATATTAAATATATCATAAAGAAAAAATTGAAGGAATAAATTAAATAAAAAAAATTAAAAATAATTTTATTATCTGACTTTTCTATCTTCTCTTATTTTTTTTTCATATTCTCTCATTAACAGTAATATTTTATTAGTATTTAATTGTTTCTCTAATTTCTAAAGAATATATTAAATAAGAAAGATTAAAAGTAGTTCTTCATCTTCTCTCCCCTTTTTATATTCTCTCATTATCAGTAATATTGATTAATTAATATTAAATTGTTTCTATAGTTTGTACTTTCAAATTCATTGTTCGTCTCTCTTCCTCCCTCCTCATACTCCATACTTGAAATTATATTGATTGACAAAGTACTTTTTCTTCATCTTTTCACTACTTATTCTATTATTGTTTGTTATTTTATTTTTTGTTAAGGACCATTTGTTATTTGAGAAAAATATTTTTTTTTATAAATTTTTATGATTCTATAATTAGAAAAATAATAATAGATTCATTTTTTTCTATATATGAAGCATAAAAGAATATATTCATTTTTTAAAAGTGATAAAAGAGATACTTGTAGAGATGAAAATCAAACAAATTCAACATCTTCTCTTGTTTCAAAGAATGATATTGATGATCTAATTATTCAATTAGAAGAACCTTTTTCTAAGATTTATAAAATTGAAACTAATAAATTTAATATTAATTCTTTGGAGCATGACCCAGGAAAACGTCTTCAGATACATGAATATTCTATGAATCAAAGAGATGAAATTAGAAGAGCTTATTTAAATTAGGGTCTACATCAAATACAACTTAAAAACTATCATTTTTCTAAAAGAGAAACATCCTAGGAGATTTCAATATGGTTGATTTAAAATGTTTCCTTCTTGGCTAGAGTATTCTCCAACTAGTGATGGAGCTTATTGTTTGCCATGTTATCTATTTAGTACACTGTCAAATGGTCGTCCTAGGGCAGATGTGTTTATTAGACAATGATTTAGATCATGGAAAAAGGTTAATTCAGGAAAGAATTGTGTGTTTCTTAATCACATTGGAGATAGTCCTTGTTTACCACATAACAATGCAATGAAAGCATGTACAAACTTATTGAATCAATCTAAGCACATTGACAACATTATAAATGTGCAAAATTAAGAAAAAGTTTGAAAAAATCTTTTACGGCTTAAAACTTCTATCGATACAATTTGTTGGCTAGCATTTTAAGCTTGTGCATTTAGATGCCATGATGAAACTCCATATTCAAGTAATAGAGGTAACTTTCTTGAGATGATTAAATTTTTAGCATCATACAATGATAAAGTAGCACAAGTTGTGTTAGAAAATGCTCCTTATAATTCAAAATATACTTTTCATCATATTCAAAAGGAAATTTTGCAATTTTTTTTCTAGAAAAGTAAGAAATTATATTAGTGAGGAAATTGATGACTCAAAATTTTGTATAATTGTTGATGAAGCTTGTGATGAATCTAGAAGAGAACAAATGGCTATTATTTTGAAATTTGTAGATAAAATGGGTAATATTAAAGAACATTTTTTTATATTGTGCATGTTAAGGATACTACAGCTGCTACTCTTAAAAGAGAATTTTGTGTTATTCTCTCTAGACATAATCTTGATGTTTCAAATATTCGTGGGCAAGGATATGATGGTGCTAGTAATATGAGAGGAGAATGGAATGGATTACAAATATTATTTCTTCATGATAATCCTTATGTTTATTATGTACATTGTTTTGCTCATAGATTACAACTTGTTTTGGTTGCTGCTTCAAGAGAAGTTATTCCAGTTCATCAATTTTTTTCAAATTTTGCTTTTATTATAAATTTTGTTTGTTCATCTAGTAAACATCATGATGAGTTACAAAGTGCAAAATTAGATGAAATAGTTAAATTATTAGAACTTGGTGAACTTGAAACCGGTAAAGGAAAAAATCAAATTGGCACTTTAAAACGAGTTGGTGATACTCGTTGGAGTTCACATTTTCATTCCATTTGTAGTATGATGAAATTGTATAATGCATCTTGTTTAGTTCTCTAAAAAATTGTAATTGATTGTTCAACTTA